ATTGGGTCGCGAATATTGAAACTTTGAGAAGCATTGGCCTAGTGCCTTTACAACATGGGGGAATCTAAATAGTGATGAGAGGCAACTGACCACCCCAAGGTGTTCTTCCTCACAATTGGGGACAGAGAACTGAGTGAAATAGTACTGTCAACTGTATGGTGCTCAAAGCTACGGCTATCGACAGGCGTACAATTATCCCTTATCCACGATGAATTTCGTGGGCCTCGATCTGACTTCGTCAGACAAATGGTGTTAGCGGCAACAACAGCATTCAAAATTATATTTTTAAAAACATATCACATACAGAAAAAAAAATGTAGAAAATAAACTTTTATGAATATTGCTAACGCTTATTTCAAATAAAAAAAAAAAAAGAGATTTTAAAAACGAATGATTATTTTTGGACACTCTGAAATAAAAATGCAGAACTTCTTCGGATTTATTTTACAAGAAAAAACAGTTTCAAATATCACTCTGAATTTGAATAAAATGTAATATACCAAGCAGTAAAAACTGTATTGATATTCCGTTGCTGAAATTATTTTTTTATACATACTGTATACTGTTCCACGTACTAGTAAAATTAGTTTATTAGTTTGCATGGTAAATTCACTTAAAAAAAGACAAAGGCAACATTTTTTTTTATCTCCGTAAGTGTGTCAAAATGACACAACTATGTACTGAATGATCTTGAAATGCACCGCAACATCTGATATAAATTTCAATAAGATGTTCGCATGGATGTCATGGGTGATTTAACAGTTTTGAAATATTTCCTTTGACTATTTTCGAATCACATTTACATGTGTAAAATAAGATGTTGCGTTATTTCATAAATATTGTAACTCTTTAAGAGTGTAAGAGAGATTGATGTTGGTTCTTAAATAACAAGAATTTTGCAATTTGAAATAAACTGATCATTTTATTTAATATTTAAATACCCTATTTACTTTTTAAATTACTACTATTAGTTCACTCTCTCCGTATATTTACTTATTCATATATATATATATATATATATATATATATAAATAACTTTTGTTCAAGTTTTCAATCGTTAATAAAATACTTTTTATTCATCCATTCAAGTTCAAATACATCTTTTGAAACTTGTAATGGATGGCACTTGATGCTAATACAGTTTTTTGAAATATTAATTTATTAATTAAATTAAAAAACAGAAAAATAATAACAAATAAAAATAATAGTCCATCAGCAAAAAGAAAGGAAAATCGTTTGTTATGCCTATGTAGCGCAAAGAGTAGCTCGTTGGACTTGTAATCCAAAGGTCATGAGTTCGAATCCCATCTGGGAAGGCCTAATTTCTGTGAAGTTCTTTCTTTTTTTCTTACTATACAATTTTATAAGAATAATTGAATTTAATTAATGGATAAATAGTAACAAACAAAAAAATAATAGTCCAACACCATATAAAGAAAGGAAAATGAAAAATTGCAAGGAAAAAAGCTTTTTATTTTTCCACTTAATATTGTGATTCTGTCATATGTATATGCATATTTATATCAATTGTAACTGTTTGATAAAATTGGCTAAAATCAAAGTTTTCTTTGTTGACCTAAGTAGGTAATTTTTTTGTATTACTTGTTTTTCAAATGAAGTGGTCATGTTTCAATACCTTGTTAATCTATATGAGAAACTACTTATTTTGACTAGAGAGCAAGACAGCAATAATCTCATTAACATATAAACAAATTATATCAATTGCAGGGGGGAAAAAAGATTCTGGGAAATAAAGTTTATTTTACTATCACAAATTATAAGCAAAAATATCATTTAGTAGTTATGATTATAAATTTTTTTTAAAAAAATAGAATTCGCAGCAATGAAAAATATATATCTTAATTTAAATATAGTTGGACCCGATTTAATGATTTTTTTTCGTTAAATCGGGGACCAAATGAAATACAATCTTTTTGCATTTATCTTTTGGAAACTCTATAATAAGCAAATACACATAAAATATCTGTAATTAGAAATTACATCAGGCCGTGGGTAGCCTAGTGGTTAGAGCACCGGACTCCAGACCGGAAGGCCTGGGTTCGATGCCCGTACCGCCAAATACTCTCAGAGTACACGCGAAGTACGTGCTTGTTAAATCAGTGGGTCCGAAAGTCTTGTGGGCTGAATCACGAGTGCAGGGAACTGGAGAAAATTTCCCTCCAATTCAGTTCCATGCCTAAATTGTGGAGGTGGAGATAGGTGGTGTCGCCATCCATCGTTCCTTCGGGAATTTCTTCGAGCTAAATCGTACTGTCACCTGTATGGTGCTCAAGGCTAAAAGCCAACGACAGGCGTACATCTAGCCCATTGCCTCGATGAATTTCGTGGGCCTCGATCTGACTATGTCAGGCAGCTGGCATGAGCAACAACAACAAGAAATTACATACATTTATTGAATAGCTAAGAATACTATAAGTGAATCATTACGCACCATTTAATTGGGTTTTAAACCTT